TCAGTCAATTAATATCCTATTATTATTGGTATGATTGTTGTTATTGCTTGTACTGTTGTTGTTTATGGTGAGGAAGTCATTGTCATCAATTACCAAGATTCATTGATGGGTATTTTGCATTAGCTTATCTTTTTCTTGTGGGGGGGGGGCTCAAGGACTTCTCCTGCCTTCTCTCCTCTCTTCCCAGCAGCCCTGCGAGGTCGGCCAGGCTGAGGAGAGAGTCATGAGGGGAAAGCCCTCTGAGTAGCATGCCCCCAGTTCATCGTACATTCGTTTTTGTTATTGTTATTATTGCTGAGTTGCTGCGTTTTTAGATCTTCTTGCATTGTGGGGGCTCAGTGGTAATTGAGCAGATAGGCGGGATATAAAATACTGTAAATAAATAAACAGGACGTCTCCTGCCTTTCCTGGGTGCCTTCCCAACAGCCCCGTAAGGTAGTCCAGCCTGAGGGGGAGCCACAGAGGAAAGCCCTTTGAGGAACATGTTCTCCAGTCGTCTGTTATTGATTGATTTATTGTTAATTCTTTATTGGTTTGTTGCATTTTTAGATCTTATTGCTTTGTGGGGGCCCCAAGGAGGTGCGTGGGAATTTTCCTGTCCTCTCTTGGGCTCCCCAGCCATTGTGTGAGGTCAACCAAAGCGAGGGGGGGAGGAGTGTGGATGGCCCTGGGTCACCCTCTGAGCTTCAGTGGCAGAGTGAGGGGTGGAATCCAGGCTTCCTGAGTCGTAGTCTAAAGAACATGTGGCATTAACTTTCCTGTTTTTGAGCATCTCTTTGTTCATTGTTGCTTTGGCTTTGAAAAGCCCTCATTTTCCTCTTTTAGTTTTGAGTTCTGCATTTTGTCTTTTCCCCAGTGAGCAGAAGGCTTCTGCTCATTTCTTCCTGTAGCTCATTCTCACGTGGTGAGAGGTTGATCAGAAGGAAGGAGAACGGCGAGCCCAAGATCCGCCAGATGGCCTGTCCTGTTTTAATGGGACATACGGCCGGGTGTGGGCGGGAAATGTTATCCAGCCAGGAGCTGCAGTAAATCCGTGTATATGTACTTGTCTGTTTTCCCAGTGAGTTCAAAGTGGCATCCATGTGTCCTTCTTTATCCTGACAGGCCAAGCTGAGAAGATCTCTTAAGTGGCCTACGGTTGGTTCCTTGGTCAAGGATCTTGAATCTGGACCTCCAGAGACCTTAGTCAACGCTGTAACCAATTGTACTACACTGGCCTTCGTCTGAAGGACTAATAGCCACCTTGTTTGGCAAATGACACAGTGCTTCATCATATGACCATGAGTAGCTAAAGCTATACTGCTGAAATTGGTCAACTAGTCCTTCATACTGCTGGGTCTCGGGGGTGCAGGTCTTTCTGAAGCAGCTTGCATCAAAGCTGTAATGTTGCCTGCAAAGCAGTGGCCGAGATGCAGCCGTGCATTGCAAGACCTGGAGTGGATTACACACACACGCTTTTTATCGTGGGCCCTCATGCAAGTAGTACTCTAGTCTCTTTTGAAGCAGAGGTGGTCATGGTGACAGCTCCCATAGACCCAACTCCTCCTTCCCCTGGATATTCGCAGAACAGAGGCAGCTGCCTCAGGGTGCATTAACAAACAGTTCTGTAGCAGTTCTCATTTCCAATGAGAGCTGACTCTGTGTAAAGTAAATGGCTTTTAATTACCAATTCCAGACCAAGCTACCCCCTGATGCTTTGCATTATACCAAGATTAACTGGTATTATGTAGTTGCCAGGAAAATCTATTATTCCTTACAAACACCCCACAGCTATTGTGATGACTGCGTCAGCTCAGTGGATGTGAGCAAGGTCAATCATGTCATCACTGCAGATCTAAAGTTCCCTGCACACCAGTTCTGTGAGCATTGATCTGGTTATTTATTTATTTGATTTATACCTTGCCTATCTGGTCGGCTGGTTAGACAGTGAAATATCAATAAAGCCACTGTGAGGAGCGTGGTTATAACTGGACAGCTTTATTTACATGGAGCTGGCAAGCAATGGAAAGAAAAAAAATCTGTCCTTGGTGTCTCCCCTTAATAAATGTCTCTAGATGGAACCTCTTTGAAAAAGGTGGCTAAAAGCAGATTAAGTTGGTGCCTTTAAGGAGGGGGGGGAAAGCAAAAAATAGAGCAGAGCAGTGGTCAGGCCGTATTAATCAGAGAGGAAATCTTGAAGCCTGAGTCGGCTGCTGTTGACTCAAACTGTAACTTCTGCTTTTGTAATTATTTCCAGAGCAATAGAAACCATTGCTTTGTTGTGCCGGGAACACACATGCTTGTGGCATTTTAAGGACTGCAAATGTGAAACCTGAGGGTATAATTCGTTATTCTCTAAGGTGCCAAAGAATGCTGTGTTTCTTCCTCTTTCGGTTACCAGAGGGGTAAGCGCCGTCTGCCATCTGCGTAGCTTGACAGTCTTATTCTCAGTTTCTCTTCTCTGCAATTTGATAATATGAACAGATTCTAGCCTGTGAGGTTTGTTGTGGTCTGCTGAGTTTCATGGTATGTGCAGATGCCATCCTGTGTCTCATTGTGTCTGATTCTGTTTTAAATAAGTGAAGCTGAGCAGTGGTCTCAGAAAGGTGGTTGAAAATTGAGGGGGACACCTTTGCTGAGATGCCTGAAAATGGGCAAATCAGGAGCATCGGGCTCAAGTAAAATACTTGTGTTTGGATTAGATCCTGATAGGGGTTGGTGTGTGAAAAACAGAGCATACCCAGATCCCACCCACCCCAGGTCTGTGAGCAGGTGGAGGGTGAGATAAAGTGGGTTGCTTTGACACCAGAGTGGGTGGAAGCACCTCTTGGGAAGACTTGCTAATTAGGAAGCGGCAGGCTAACCCACATTCTGGAACTGTAACAACCCCCTCCCTCTGGTTGAGGACAGCAATTCTGGCTGTATAGGTTAGCTCAGAGGAGATGAGAACATGATGGAGGTGGCTTTTCCTGTGGCCCTAAAGACTGGCATGGATCCTGCACGTCTCTGCTCAGAACTAAGTTCCGCTGAGTTGACATGATAACATTTGTTAGATGAATAATGTGGGGCTAAAAAGAGAACTGAGATGCAGCAGGGTTTGGAGACTGTGAATGTAAAGGGGTGAAAAAGCTGCTGTCATCATAGGCTTCAATCCAGTTAAAATGTATTTTTAGTTTCCTTTTGGATTTCCGAAGGGAGACCTACGAAAGCCCAGACATTTTTTACACTTTTGACTGACAACCTCTTCTGCTATGTGGGTGGCATTAAAACCTCCGTTTAAACTGTGGATTTCTCTACAAAATGTGCACTTCTTGTACCTTTCAAGTGCCGCGCTAAGGTGACTTTGGTGGGGGTGGCAGTACCAGCCTCGTGCGTGTGTGAGAAAAGGCCCTGTGAACCTCTCAGGCAGACCGAAAAGGCCAGGGCCTTGGCCGCATTCAAGTCAGGGCTCTGATTTGCCGCACGGAAGCCGTTCCAAAGAAAAGCAAAAAGCTATTTCCCTTCTGCCGCTCCCCATTAGCCCAGCCCTTGACATCTTTAAATGGCGCCGTGCCCCCATGCGAGGATCTGAAAGCCCTGGCAGAGCCGCTCGCTGAATCGATTTTTCGCTTTAATCCACGATAAGCCTCTTACTGTCTTAGATACCTTAACCCTCTTGCCTTCTCTCTCTCTCTCTCTCTCCCCCCAAAAAAGGGAAGAACCGGCGGCTCAAGCAAGCGAAAGAAGAAGCTCAGGCTGAAATTGAGCAGTATCGCCTGCAGAGGGAGAAGGAATTCAAGGCGAAGGAAGAAGCGGTGGGTGTTGTTTGTGTGTCCAGCAGCTCTTTTTCATCTGCCTGTCCATTTGTTACGTTGGCCGCTTGTCCCCTTTAATCCTCATCACCATCTTAGAACGGCAGAGCTGGAAGGGACCCTGTAGATCACTGAGTCCAGCTTCTGTCAAGGAGACACAGTGGGGGAATCAAACTCCCAACCTCTGGCTTCGCAGACCAATACTCCAAGCCGTTCCTGATCTGGACTCAGTCGTCCAACCTGTTTTCTTTCAACCTGCGTGACGGCGACGTTGCCGAATTCCACGTACGGTTTATCCCGTTTTCTCTTATGCCCTGTTGCTTCCCTTCCCTGCTCCTCCACCACTGCTGGAACGGAAGCTAGATGCCAGAACAGTGGTTTCCGCTCCGGCAGCCTAGCTTCTGTTCCATTGCAAACAGCGAAGCTTCCCTTCGGGCGGCCAAGTGACTTGCCTCTCTGTCTGAAGTCCATGTGAATCAGCTGGTCTGTGGGGCCATAGAAAGACAGAGGAAGCCTGACCAAAGGGATTCTCCCTCCTCCTGCTGTTAGCAAAAACAGTGGAGGGGATTCCCTTGGGTCAGGCTTCCCCTGCCTGTCTATGCTGATCCGTGAGGGCATAGGCAGAGATAGGGATGCATGGATGAATATCAAAGGTGTATATACATGCCTTTGTATTCAGCGGAGTCTCCGGATTTCACGAATAGCATGGGACGAATATCTGACGAATCAGTGGTATTCAGCGAATATCATAAGAACCTAAGAAGAGCCCTGCTGGATCAGGCCAAGGGCCCATTGGATCTCACAGGGATCCCACCAGTTGCCTCTGGGAGCACACGAATCTATGAGAGACTGGTCTCTTGATCCCTCTCTTCCCCTCCATCTGGCATTTGGAGGGACCTTCTTTCGAAGCCTGGAGATTGTACATGCCCATCAGGGCTTGTAACCTGCGATGGACATTTTATCCAGGACATCGTTTAAGGACATCTAGGTCAGATGCCATCATCACATCCTGTGGCAAGGAATTCCCCACACTAACAAAATATTTCCTTTGGTCTGTTCTCATTTGCAAGACTCGATTTGAGTGGAACCATTTCAGTAGCCTCTCCAAGCCTCTGGAACTTCCTTCCACAAGAGAAGCTGGCTTGGCCCCCTCTCATGTGTTCCTTCCACCACCAGCAGCCAAAGACCTCTTTATCCAGGCAGGGGTTTTTAAAGGACTCTGGCTTCTCCCCACCCTTTTTGTTGTTTAATTTCACTTGCTCTTCTTAATATTTCTAACCTGCACTTGGAAACCACAGCTGATTTTACTGCATTCTTAATATAGCTAAACAGCAAGTACCACTGAAAAAGACAGTAAACTGTGAATATCGAAGTATTTTTAGTAGAAGTTGCATTTTAACTCTACAGTGAGCTGCCGTGGGTACCCTCTATGGGGAAAAATCTCTCATGAATAAAAGATAGGGGAGCGAAGTGATCGTGGCAGCGGCCACGGTCAGAAAGTGCTCTTCCGAATAGACAACCAGACCAGTAACTGAAAGTAATTGCTTTAGTTACTTTTGAGAAGCAGTTAAGAGTTGCTTCTTTAAAAAAAGTAACCAACAGTTGAGGGGTTTAGTTCTTTCTGTGTAAGGCCATCTTAAAGGAAAGCGTAGTTAACACACACAGGGGGAGAGAGGCTTGCTGGTAGCTTGTTCTCTAGGACAGCTCCTTGCCTCACGAGGCTCATCCCCCTTTTTGGTATTTACGAGATGGAAAGGATCTGTTTTGGTTTTTTTTTTTAATTCTGGCAGGCTTCTTTTTCAGCCCAGCTGAGCCAACAGTGTATCTTCTCAACAACTGTGCTGTGGGTTGTTTTTATGCTGCCATTAGAAGAAGAGAATAATTGAGTTGCAAGGGTTTATAATAGCATTGCCCAAACCCTGGCCCAAGGCAGGAATCGAAAACAAAGCACATGGTTGTCTGGTTTTCTCTTGAACAGTGGTCCACAACCTTGGGCCTCCAGATGTTCTTGGACTTCAACGCCCAGAAATCCTGGCCAGCAGAGGTGGTGCTGAAGGCTTCTGGGAGTTGTAGTCCAAGAACATCTGGAGGCCCAAGGTTGGGGACCACTGCTCTTGAAGGCCTCCAGCATTGGAGCGCTCTCCTGAGGTCACTGTCTCCACTGTTGTACTATTGTAACAATTACGAAGTTTTTCCTGATATTCAGCCGAAATCTGGCTGAGCCCATTATAGTGTGTCTTGCACTCTGGGTTGATCGAGAACGGATCCTGCCCCTCCTCTGCAGGACAGCCTTTCAAGTCTTTGAAGAATATTCTCCTCTCTCCTTTCAGTCTTCTTTTCTCAAGGATAAACAAGCCCAGTTCTTTCACTCTTCACCCTTATAGGGCTTGGTTTCCTGGCCCCTGATCCTCCTTGTTGCCCTTCTCTGAACTTGCCCTAATTTGTCAGCCTCTTTTTTTTTTTTGAAATGTGATGTCCGGAACTGGGCACAACACTCTTAGATGAGGCCTAACCAGTGCTGAATGGAGGGAGGCTAGTACGGGATTTGGAGAGCCTGTACGAGATATTGCTTTATTTTATCTATTTACAAGTATTTAGCTATTATATCCTGCCAAATATTCTGTAGCAGTATGCAATGAAGCATACAATCTTAGAATGGGATAAATATATAACATCTAGGCTATGCACAAGCCAGCGGGATAGCTCATTGGTTTAGCTCATCTGGCTGCAGAGCCAGAGGTTGGGAGTTTGATTCCCCACTTGTGCGTCCTAGGAGAAGAGCCAGCCTGGGTGGTCTTGGGCCAGCTGTACCGTCCTAGGGCAACCCCAAGAGAAGGGAATGGTCAACCACTTCTGCGTTTTCTCCCTCTCATTATTGATTTAGGCTATCAGTTTCAACCCAGGTTTGCTTTTCCATGTACCACTTCGTTTAGTACATGCTTTCTTTTCTCCTCCTGGTTTTTCTCACGGCATTAGGCTCTCGGTTCCCACGGCAGTTCCACCACAGAGGTGGAAAAGGAGACCCAGGAGAAGATGATGGTTCTGAACAGCAACTTCCAGAAGAACCGGGAGGAGGTGCTGACGACCCTCCTGAACTTAGTCTGTGACATCAAGCCGGAAATCCACATGAACTACCGCATCAACGGGTAGAGGAAGGTTTTGGCCTTCTGGAAGTGTTAAGCAATACCGGATCTTCCTTGGCCCCTTCTTCTGTCAACGTTTCAAACTTATGTCCAAGACTTGTAGGTGACTCTTCCTGCTGTTGGATTTTTTTTTGCGTAGCTTGTTCCAATACATTAGTTCGTTGTCCGGAAAGTGTATTTATGGTACAGGGGTTCAAGAGAGAAAGTGAATACTGGATTATTTGTGAAAGGTTTGGAATGGACCTTTCCACAGTATTTGGAGGTCAAGATGAGTGGGAAGGGTCAGTCCGGCTGTTGTATTATATACCTCTTAAACTTAGAATGTGTGAATTGGGTCCATTTTAGCCTCCACTTCACCCGAAACATAAGTGTAGAGGTCAAAATCGTGAATGTTAAGTCAGAATGACCAACTGGACTCCCAACAGTGTTTTGGACGAGGGTCTGTTTGAACAGCCACACACTCTGTCTGTCCTCCTGTTTGACTTGAATCTGCCCTTAAAGGTGCTTGAAGAAAAGTAAAGAACTTATTGAACTTCAGATTAAGGTGTGTTTTTTTAAAAAAAAACCCTTCCTCCACTTGAATCACAAAATATCTGACGATGGAGTCCTCGGATGTGAGTTACATTTATTTCTGGTGTTTATGGTTGAACATAACGGGCGAAATCAGCTCAGCTGATGCTGGTGGGCTGCTGTTCGTATCTGTCGGAGCCAGTGCCGAAGCGTGACTCTGTCTGACCTGAGCAACGCCTGCATTCCTTGGATAAGCTCTTGTTATGTTAGCAGTTGTGGTGCCCCAAGGCCTCCCTAAGGAGCGCGAAGCACTCAGAGAGTTTGACAGGCCATTGATTGACCTTTGCGCTGAGACAAGTCCCAAGACCTCAGCCGTGCGTAGCGTAAGCCCCTTGAACCAGTCTGACCTTAAAAAGAACAATTTACATTTACTCAGTACTTTGCAAGTACAGACACATGGGCTTTGTGATTCCTCAGAACTCGCAGCAGCTCAGTTAGGTAGGACTCTTAATGATAGCTAGTTTGTGGCCCTCTCCACCTCCTGGATTTAGCCAGACCCTGCTGTTCAAGAGACTAGTCCTTTTGTAAGAATGTTTAATTTTTTTAAAAAATTAGAATAATAGAGTTTCATAGCATCAGTTTATATTGCTCAAGCTTAAGCCTAAAGAACATACTCAAAGATTGATACAGTTAAATAAAATAACTAATTCCCCATTAAAATAAAAAGCACTACGAAGAAGGGCTAGCCCCACCTCCTCCTTTCTCTTTACTCACATTTTCTCTCCTTCAAACCACATGCTCAAGTTCTTTTTCTCTCCCATCATCATGGAATCGAACCTCTCCCACATAACCCATCGTCCATTTCCTACATTCTCTAACACTCTAGCCCTTCTTCTTGACACTTCATGGCTGTTAACAACTTAGCCTCAAGGGGCTGTAACCCCTTCCGCCGCCCTCAATTCCCATGAAGATCCGGGTATTTTATCTCTTCTCCCAATAACTTGGAACGTTGAGTCTTCCAGGGGCTTCTTTGTCCGACCTTCAGCTTTCTCTCGAATCACGCTGTATCGGTCTTCAGAAAAACACTCTCATAGCACTTAGAAAAACACATTCCAATGTTTCTCAAATCATCTTCACATAGAAGCTCTCTAACTCCATCTTACATTTCTCTGACTACATAGCCCACCCTGCGTCAACACCATCACAGTAGTGACAGTATTTTTGAATTGCCAGGATTTCACTGGCTTTCAAACAACACAAAGCTGGGGAAGGCAGCAGGATGAGGACACTTGGGAAAAGATTGGATTTTTGTGGAAAGACGGGGTCGTTTTAATAGCCCTTGTCTGCAGTCTCAGGGCCAGGCTTAAAATCCTGGGTTGTCTAGCAGGAGTGTGAGACATGGCACTAGCAGGGATACCCTGGACTGGCAGAAAGACAAACCAAATCAAGCTTGAATGATGAGGGGAAAAGGTTGAAAGTGAGGTTTGTCTTCCTTTGGGGACATCACGAGAAGGCAGATTCTTGGGGGAAAAGATCATTGTGCTGGGAAAAGTCAAAGTCGCCATGCGTCAGAGGTTGGCTTGATGACACCTAACAGCAACAACAACATAGCAGGGATGGGTGGCTGTAGTTCTTCAGAGGTTTTGAACCCGCAGCATCTTAGTCATTAACAAGGTATGCCTGCGGACTGAGGGCTCAAAACGTCTTGTGCTTGCCTGAGTTGTACAGGAGGACATGTTTATTTAAAAGGCTATTGGGACTGAACATGATGTCTCTAGGCGTTGCCATGAGGAAAGAAACGTGAAGAAATTCACTGGGGCCAATAATGTGACTTTCCTTCTACACCTTTTAAGTCTGTTATCTTCTCGCCCAGCCCTCTTTTTCCGCCTCTGGTTCTGGTGCTTAAACTTAAAACTTGAAATGATCATTAAAAAACATCACCCATGGAAACGTTGTCATTCACATATGGGAACACTGTAAAAGATCTAAAAGATACCAGTGAGAAAAGAAAAAGAAACATAAACTTCAGCAAAGCGATGCAAGATCTGGCTGTGAGAATAGAGCCATTTACCTCAGGGGAATGGATCTCTTTATGATGGGTGTGTTATTAAATTAGTCTTTATTTTTCACTTTTTCCAAGGATACATGAAGGAAACCGATCGTTGTGAGGCTGTAGGCTGTACCGCTTTTGTGAGGAGAGGGTTGCAAGAAACTGCCGGCAACCTGAGATAACATCACGGTGCATGATTTCACTCAGCGAGAGGGTTGAGAGGCTTCTCGGGGGACCAGAAGCATTCAGATCCGCTTCCTCCACCCACATCAACCGCGTGCAAGGCGCCTTTGATTTAGTCAGTTTCAAACCAGTCCCGTCTCTGTCGTCCCACATGTTTCTTGCTTTTGCCAAGCAAGAGCTTCTGTTCGGCGGCCGCCCTCTGAAATCTTAGGGTTAAAATCCTGGGTTCTAGGATGGTGGAGGGCAAGCGGTGCCCTCCACCAACCTAGCCGGTAAAGAGACATTGTAGGAATGACAGTCTCAAAAAAAAAAAAACATCTGGAGGGGCATGCTTACTCATCTGGGCTCTGCGGGAGCAGAATGTTATTTAGCAGGGAATGGTGGTGGCTGTTTCAGAGTGGATTTTGTAAAAATTATTTCTGCTATGGACAGCTTCAACCACACTTTCTGAAGCCTTGATTCGTGCTGTCTCGGGCGTCTTGGAGCGGGCGTCTTAACAGCCTCCGGGGTCCCGGATTCAGGACCCACCGTGTTAAGAATGATGCAGCCTTTTCCAGCCAGCGAGCTACAGGCCTGAAAATGGAAATCCACACAATAGATGTGTTTAAAAATAAAGTTATTCAAATAAGTTTTTTATACTGCCCGACATAGTGACGATATAGTAGCCATTCCCAAACCACCCCCGAGGCTGGACGGAACTCCAAAAATAACAACAGATGCCAAAATTATAATCCAGGTCGATAATCCAAAAATTAGTGGTTAGTGGAACGAGACACCCCCCAGCTCTCTTACAAGGTTGCTAAGGTGCCATTTGTACAGGGTACTCCCTAAGGGATACCTTGTTTGGTTCAAAGTTCAAATTCTTTGTTCAGTTCAAAAGGAGGAATGGATGTCTCCAGAGTCGGGATCCCGGGGAGATCTACCTGCCCCCCCCGTGCAGGTGCCACCGAGCGCTATTTATTTAAAAGGGCATTGTACGGGGCTGCCGCAATGAGCATTCAGGACAGTCTAAGTATCATGGCTAGAAAACGAAAGAAGGGTTCTCTTCAGCAAAGGTGGAAGCCACTGATCTTGCTGCCTGTGGTTTTTAAGGAGGCGAGTGCAATTGTAATGTTTTCAGTCTCTGATGCTTCTCCTCATTTATCACATGTATGAGATGATAAAAATGGCACTTCCCGCTTGCCAGGCAGTCTTGAGAGCTGATCTCGGTATAACCCAGCACCTGATGACCCTTCTTTGATTTTAAACCTTAACTCCTCTGTTGCGTCTCATAAATGCCAGGCAGACGAGAAGGATTTAAGACCAAGCTTCTCCTCCCCACTCACTCCTGCACACGTGGCTTAATCTTCTGACATCCTTCCTGATAAAGAGATGAATAATCTCCATCGCTCACATGCTGCGTGAGGTCTGTTGTGCAACCTTAATAGAAGACATCACCCCAGTATGGATTTTGCAATCTTCCTCACTTGTATCTGTTTCTCTGACGTGCCTTGGAAGGAAATCAAAGGAATGAACAAGAAAATAGCAAAAGTCATGGTTCTGCTTTGTATTACGACCATTTAAGTGCATGTAAGATGTTATACTTTATTTCACTTTCCATCTGCAGAGTTGTGCTGGCAGAGAGCTTCCATGTCTCATGGAGTAAATGCGGAAAACAGATACGGCCACAATGCAATTAACATCTGCTCCTTCTAAACTGGTCATTCCCAACTGCGGGTCCCCAGATGTTCTTAGAGGACAATTCCTATAAAATCCTGGCCAGGATGAGGGGACGGCTGTTGAGAACTTAAATTCCAGACTCTCTGGGGACCCAAAGTTGGGAAGCCGCAGATGGTTAAAGTTATCGGAAGCATTAATCATTTTAAACTTGGTTAAATTTGTCCTTGGTTCCTTGTCTGAGCAAAACGAGGGCACTCTATTGTTCGGGTTCCTACAAGGCCTCACATCCCGAATCAAGTTTATTTTTATGGCATGCCACTTTCACCGCAAAACACTCCCCTTCGAGAGGCCTTCTAACCAGCATCGCCGTTTGCGGGAAATGGCCCCGAGCGTTTATGGGGCTTCCGTAGCCATTTTACAAGGGAAACCGATGGTTTATCTTGAAAGAATCCAAAAAGGGTGCAAGGCTGCAACATGAAAGTTGGTGTGAGTATGAAGGAAGTCCTGGCTTAATGAAAGTGTTAAAGGTAAAGGTTCTCCTTGACAATTTGTCCAGTTGTGTTTGACTCTAGGCGGTGGTGCTCATCTGCGTTTCCAACCCATAGAGCCAGCGTTTTGTCCGAAGACAATCTTCCATGGTCACGTGGCCGGTGTGTCTAGACAATAAACAGAGGTGGTCCCTGTTTATCTACTTGCATTTTTGCAATTCGCAAAACTGCTAGGTTGGCAGGAGCTGGGACGAGCGACGGGAGCTCCCTCCGTCGCGTGGATTCGATCTTACAACGGCTGGTCTTCTTACCTTGCAGCCCAGAGGCTTCCGCGATGACAATCTTCCATGGTCACGTGGCCGGTGTGTCTAGACAATAAACAGAGGTGGTCCCTGTTTATCTACTTGCATTTTTGCAATTCGCAAAACTGCTAGGTTGGCAGGAGCTGGGACGAGCGACGGGAGCTCCCTCCGTCGCGTGGATTCGATCTTACAACGGCTGGTCTTCTTACCTTGCAGCCCAGAGGCTTCCGCGATGTTTAACCCGCAGCGCCGCCACGTCCCTAATGAAAGTACAAGGAGGGAATAAATGCTGAAGAATTAAAAGAAGACTCAAACATTCCTTAGACATAAGCTGCTCTGTGCATG